CTCCCGCTTATCGTTGATGTCTTCATCTTTTATCTCGTTAGCTGTGATGGAAAGTCGATTCAAGCTCAAGACCGGTATATCGAAGGTGGTGCAGTTCTCTGTCCAGCAGATCGTCGACTGCAGCAGACCTTCTGGAAATTTGTAAACTATGCTTATAATGCCGGAAAAGAGAGTCTGCTTTCAGTGGCTGCCTGGGTGGGCAGTCTCTTTACGCATATGACTATGCGAAAGCTCAAGGTATGGTCAAAGAATCGAGCTACCCATACAAGGCTAAGGAGAGCGCTTGCAAGACATCGATTACTTCCAATCCTGAAAAACAGTGTCTCAAGGTATGGGAGTGATATCTTGCGATTGACTCGCATCCTGCTGCTGTTTTCTTTGCAGAAGGGGGACATCAACCAACTCTTGCCCATAGACAGGCATGATGAGTTGAAAATGATGGAAGCTCTCACTACTGGGCCGGTCACTGCGAGTATATGTGCCACTTGCCCAGCGTTCAAGGCATATAAATCAGGCGTTCTCACCGGTAGGAAATTACTGACAATATTTAGTTACCCTTCCTCAAGAATTTCATTACGATGAAGAAAAGAATCAACGTAATCAATTTTCTCCACTGTAACGTGTTGTCACATGGCGAGCTCTCTTCTGATAGCACGGCACGATGCCGGTAAAGGAGGGATCCTTGCGAATTGGCTTTCCCAATAAGTGATCTAGAGACAGATGGCTCGTGTTTTTAGCCGCTGCTTGTGGCAAGGGTGATGTCGATCACACGATTACTATGGTAGGCTATGGTACTGCTTCTGACGGGACCCCGTAAGGCGATTCACGGGTTTTACTGACTTGCTCATTTCGGTCTTTCAGGTATTGGAAAATAATGAATAGTTGGGGAAAGTCTTGGGGAATGAAGGGTTTCGCATTACTTCAAAGAACGGGACCTTCAATCCCTCGAGGTAATGTCATTGAACTATTATCCATCTTTAATGCATGTTACAGTTCTTGGTCTCTCAGATACTTGCGGAGTGTTGGCCGGAAATCATCTATACCCGGTTTATGCTGACACAGTAATGAGTTCAGTTTGCGCGAAAAAGTGACGGGCGCTATCATAGACGACATTCTGCAGTGTTGTCATGAAAAATGACTAATGGTCTCCCAAGAAGCTCTATTCTTCGCAACTCCAACTTTTACATGCTCGTCATTTTCGTCATTCTTCGATGGCCCTCGTGGTATTTCCAGGATGTACCCGGCGTTTCTAGGATTTTATCTTTTCGAGACGCTTTGACGGGTATAATATGGAATTTTCATGTTGCTTTCAATGTACAACAGTCTTGTAACAACACTCTTGAATCAGTACACAAAATAGTTTTCAAGTCATCCCACCAGGAATCCTTATTTATTGTCACTCGATTGTCGATCTCGAATCGTTATTCATTCCCAGTTTTTGAGTTTTAATGATGTCAATTGTGTGCTCGCCCACATTTGGCTATCGAATAGTTATGGATTCTCGTAACCTTGGCCCATCTCAGTGAGATAGGCCAAGGTAGCAAATGA